ATTAAGAAGTCTGCCCTGTGATTATCCGGTACAATTGGATTTGAATATGACATCAAGGTTTCTACTCTGACCACCTGGATTCGTGCTGTCAGTTTCACCAGAGGAGGCAAGAATAAAAACTACAATTACCTTTGATATTTGATCATTTAGAAAACCACTTGAGACACAGAAAGTCTGGCTCCAAATGGCATCATTCCAAGATCAAGTTGTACAAGAAACACTAGAGAGAAAAAGGTTTCAACTGAAAAACCTTGAGGCTCAGACGGAAAACAAAAGAACCAGATTTACACAACTTGGGAATTCTTCAAATCAAAGCCAACAACGTCTGGTTACAAAGATCGTTGGAGCGGTAGTTTGACCTTTAAGATCCAGGGTTGTAATCCAGTGCTGGGTCTGTACCACTAAAGTGGCTCCAGTTCACCAAGTTTCAGCCAAAAACACTGGATTTTAAAATGAAAATCTTTCATTCTGAATTAAAAGTTTACCGTAGCCCTAATCAAAGCTGGTAGATCGCTGGAATTTTTACCGGTCACTCCACATCCGATGCTCCGGTAATTCACCTCTACTGTTCGATTCGTTTTTTTTCTCTGGTAAATAACAGCATGAGGAAGAAATCCATATTAGTCATGATGACCAGTTGCACTCTGACAGGTTAGATGAATAATTTTTACCTAAATGTTTGAACAAGTTTCAAACTGGATATGTACTTGTGTATGTTTGGATTTATTTATTTTTTTTTACTCTTGATTTCATAAATGGGGGGGGAAGGAAATTTTTTTTTTTCTAAATACTTCTTAAACTTGTGTTTTCTAGCACTTCTAGGTTAGGGCTAAATAAAAAATATGTTCATCTTTAGATTTTACGATTGTGATTTGCCTATAGCCTTGAAACTGCACCAGTTAGCCCCGATATCGCTACAGACAAAACCGTGATTACGTAATATTTTTTAGAAGCTTTTTAGGCCAAAAAATGTAAGGCAATAAAAATAAAAGGCAGCACTTTGAATGTGTTAAGTGTTTGAAAGTTAAGAAATGACTCCTTTTGGACACTGATGTTCAAGATTTCTCAACATTCATTTTGAACTAAACACGAAGGTTACGTGGGAAGAAACAAACGAATAAACTGGCGTGGGCTAACTCGCTAACGTGTTAGACTCAAGTTGTTTGAGAAAAGCAACAGAAAACCAGGACATTTAAGTATGTGCTTTGCAATAAAGGTCAAATCAAAAACATATGACAGGCAGTGACGTCATACCAATAAGCAGGACTGGATAAATGAATTATCGCCTAAAGAAGACTTCATCTACGAACACTTGAACAATGTAACACGGTAAGATAACAAAAAGATCTTACTCGGAACGACAGAAGCAAACCACGAGCCAAAGAGCCTCTGAAACGTTGGGTCTACAGCTACAGGACAGGGACACCGACAGAAAACTGAGCTATCGCTTCTAGACACTGGTAGAGGGGACAAGTTTTGAAGGGGAGGAACTTAGAGGGACGACTTCTGCAGGTTTCAGGGACATAAGAGGAGAGGCTAAGCTAACGCAAGACTGTAACAAGAAGCTTTTAAAGAACAGCATCTACGAACAGTGACGGGTGAGACAACCTACACAGATTGGTAACTGGAAGCATTTTACATATCTACACAGACTAAATACAGACCCAACAGGCCAAAAAAAAAAGTTTCTAGAGATAGACTAGAAGGACTAAAGCAACATTCTAGAGATTTCACAGCAGATTGGATGACAGGGTTGAGTCTGAGTGAGATATAAGGCTAGACTGAGACCAAGGACGGGGTTACAAAAGCTTCAAGTTCATCGTTAGAGTGGCAAATAAACGAAACAAAAAAAACTTTCAGTTTCAAGACAAAGTAGACCGAAAACCTAACCAACTTGCCTTTCTTTAAAACCCAAACTATCCCTACGATTTCCTAATCTAACGTTTTCACACCAAAGAACTGGTGACAGATCTACTACTGCAAGATAGCCACTTCAGTGCAACTTTTTGCATGTGCATTTTTGCAACGTTTTGATTTTAGAAAAAGAAATATCAAACTCTTGGGTTCAAGTTTGTCTTGAAATTTGACCCCTAGAAATAGCCCTCAATGGAAAAACATACACAACAATGTGCAAGCATACGTGTGAGCACGCCTCCGAGTGCATCAACCCGAGTGAACTCGTGGGGACGGATGTTCTGGCTGAGGAGCGGCCATGACGTCTTCCACGACTCAAATCTGGATCCCCGATGTTAACTGGAGCCACACATCTGGCCCCGTGCGCACCTCTCACTTTGATTCAGTGCAATGTGAAGTGAATTTAACTCGATTCAGTGACACTAAATTCACTCAGTGCTGCTGCGATCATCACATAATGTGGACACACCACAAGGTTGCATCAAATAAAATAAAATTTTAAAAATCTATTTTTAGAATTTTTTACTGGAGGACAAACGGAACAATAATCTTGATAATCAGATTCTTCCATTTAGGCCCGTCTCACTGAGCTGGGACTGTTGTGGACAAATTGTGAAGGTTTGTGAAAGAGCTTCAACGATGTCTCCAAATCAATTTCCTCCTCAAGGGTCTTGCTCTTGTTGCAGGAATATTAAACATGTTACAGAAAAGATTGTTGCATGTGTGTAGAACCACTTAAACCATCTGTTTTCATCATTCCAGAGCTATAAATGTAATACGTATAGGCCTGTCACGATAACAAATTTGCTGGGCAATTAATTGTCTCAGAAATTATTGGGATAAACTATAATATTGTTTGAAATTTGACAATTAGTAATTATTGTCTAATTTAAGAAGAAATGTTTTTTTAATTTTTGTGTGTAGTACCTTTTATTGACCACTGGACGGCAGTATAAGACCATTTGAACCGAAGGATGGATAGTGAGGGAGCGAACAGCGTGACTCTTGAAGAAAAATGGGAGGGAGGCCCCTTGACGTGACATGGGCTGTTTCCTTTTTTTCGGTTCTCAAAATGGCGGCCGCTCAGTGTGGTTTGAGCTCTTTAGCGTAGCATTTTTCACACAGAGCTTTTAATAAAAAAAAACAGTAAACAAGTTCTCACCTTCTTTTTTCAGGGAAAAACAACTTTTTACATGAAGGCACGAGTTTCAACCGTGAATTTTGGAGCTTCGACAAGAGTTTTTTTCCCCCTCGAGGTCGACCTGTTAGCTTAGCTCGTAGCTTAGCTTCTCTGCTTAGCTGTTTTAACGATCAAAAAAACGCAATTTTGAACGGTTAAAACAAATTTTAAAGAAAAGGGAAAAAAAGAGAAAGGGAGGGGTCAGTAAAGAGCACCGGAGTTGACCCTTTTGTCAACCAGTGTCCAGTAGAAAGAGAGAGACACAAAGATACGATAAAGCCAAATGAAGATGAGATTGCTAATTTTCATTTATCATGCGATTAATTGATTGTTTATCGCGACAGGCCTAAATATGTAATCAAGCGTTTGCATCATTTATAATTAAAAAAAACGTTTCTATGCGTTTCCTTACAATTGTGTGTCTCCAACTCGTCCATCAGTCACAGCCGGGTGAGACAAGTGTCAAAGTTCTGTCAGATTTACACAACAGGTCAGTTAAACCAGGCGACACATTGTCAGGTTCAGTTTGTTGAGTTCACTAAAATCTGCTGTTTTAACAGCGTTTACCCTCAGAACGTTTCATCGGAGTCTAAACAAAAAGCTTTTTAGCTACGTTTGCATCAAACATTCTTTATTTAATCTCCTCAGGTGAAGGATAAACTTCTGCATGAAACGGGGGAATGTTCGAGAACAATACAGTTTTCAACTAATTTCACACACCTGACAAAAACTAGCCATGCCACTGGGCTCCTTGGACTCTTTTTGGGACGTGTCTGTGGACACCCTGCAAGACCAGATTCAGCGTTTGTGTGCTTCTTCAGAACTTGTGACGGAACAAGTCATCCAGGTCTAAAGGGAAACGTACAAAAACAAAGTATCTGGCCTTAAAGAGGCGTGTGTTGAAAACAGGCTTAATGGGTCAGGAGCTCATTAATGAAATTAATGTTTGTTAAATTAAATGGCCACCAGAGAACAAACAGACAGATTTATCTATTGTGTTCGGGTCGGATCTCATCAGTCCCCTTAAGTTAGACTTTTAAAGTTAGTTGTTACAGGTGAACGTGTGAATAATTATCAGAGTTCGCATGAAAGCTATACGTCATTCCAACGACAGTTTAGCTTTTTGCTGGAATTTTTTGGTGACCAAGCCTAGAAGAAAAAAAAAAACTGCTCTAAGTTTCACCAAGCCTCGTCTCTGTGTGTATCCGTAGGAGAAAACTGATGTTTGAGAAACAAAACTTTAGCTTAACACCTGTGACAGGAAGTGCTCTGACACCACTCCCCTTTGATGAATTGCTTTCCGAGCCCTGATAACATTCAGGCGAGGAAACAATGAAAATACAAAAGAATGAAAAATTACACTTGAGATTCGAACGTTTTACCAAAAGGACAGTTGTTAACACGAAGGGTGAACGAGGGCGAGGACGGAGAGGAGGGCGGCTTGAACGTCTGAAACAACTGCCGAGCGCACACAGAAACACACACACTTGTCCTCTCCTAAGAGCTCTCAGCTGACAGGAACTCAGAGAGGACAAATAGCACCAGTATGAAATAAAGCTAATTCTCCTGCAGTGACTCCTCCAGCTGTTGTTGCAGTCTGACGACAAGCCAGAGGCAGGATTTCCTCAATCCCCTCTTCTCTAATCTCTTCATTCTCATCCTTATTCCCTTCCCCTGATTTCAAAACACAAATGAGACAAAAAGAAGCTCCACTCACACACATGCAAGCAGCTGTTTCAGACAAAGACCAGCCAGGATAGGGTCCCTTCTCCTCCTCCCAGTGTCCCTCCATCCATCCACTGTTCTTCTGTTTTGGTGTGTCGGTTATCTCGTCTGTCTGTAAGTCGGTTCACTTGATCAATTCGTTCCTTCGTCCTCTGATCGTCCTCGTGTTGGTTTTCTTCTGTTTGTTGCTTTTGGCACTCAGCTTCCCCCTGACTGGTTTACATGAACTGCATCTGAGCAGAGGGGGAGTAAAAAGAAGGCAGGGTAAACACTAAAAACACCAAACAAATAGTCTTTACAAACACAAGAGGACGACTAATGTCACAGTAATTGTCATAAACGGCTCGAGCTAAATCAATAAAGCTAGAGGGATTATTGTACGTGCTGAAATAAACAGAGCCTGGTAACACCCACTGTGTGTTGACTTCCTGTGCTTTCAGCTTATTTTTGCAATTTAAGCTGCTACTTACCCGTTTTATGCTAATTTTAGCCTTTCCAGCTAATTCCACAATTTTTGCACTCAATTCAACTTTTTTCAGCTGAATTCATCAAAAACGTTCCCTCTCCAAATCTTTTTGGCAGTTTAAGCTTCTTTCTTCTTTTTTAGCTACATTTCAGCTGTTTTTTTGTTGTTGTTGCTAATTTCACTTTTTGTGCTCATTTCTGCTTCATTCATCAAATGTGTTCTTTCTGCTTTCTTCTGCCAATTTAAGCTTGTTCTACTTTTTCAGCTACTTTTTTAGCATTTTCAGCTATTTTCGTCTGCTTTCAGATAAATTCACATTGTTCATGGTCATTTCTGCTACTTTCAGACGAATTTACTTCTTTCTGCTAATTTCAGCTTGTTATGGTTTTTTAAGCTTATTTATGCTAATGTCAGCTATTTCTGCTACTATTTAGCTGTTTTATGCTAAGTTTAGCATTTTCAGCTAATTACACATTTTTTTAAACTCATTTCAGCTCTGTCTGCTTCCTTTTGGTAGTTTAAGCTTCTCTCTGCCTTTCAGTTTGTTTTCAGTCTTTTTTTTCTAATTTCAGCTTTTTTTAGCTGATTTTCTAATTTGTGTGTTCATTTCTGCTTATTTAAACCTAATTCAGCAAAATGTGTGCTTTTTTACTTTCTTTTGTTATTTTTAGGCTTGCTCTTCCATATCAGCTACAATTCAGCATGTTTTTAGCTAATTTCAACAGTTTTTCAGCAAGTTATTCTGCAATAGGCATTCACACTGCATTTTTGCAGGAAATTTAATTTCTCTAGTTTATCTTTAGAACAGCAGTTATAAAATCAGCAGTTTATTTTGTGTGTGTGTTTGATTAGAAAATCAACAGTTTTAAGGCGAACATGGTCTTTAGGAGATTTAAAACACACAGCGTACACGTTTTGGGATTTGTTGACGCCATGAAATTTGGAAACAACAGATTTTTCCCTTAAAATGATACATTCTCTCAGTTTAAACTTTTGATCTGTGATTTGTGTTCTATTCTGAATAAAACATTAGATGTTGGCACCTCCACATCATTGCATTCAGTTTTTATTCACAATTTGTTTAGTGTCCCAACTTTTTTGGAATCCGGTTTGTAGATGCACACCACTAAAACCATTGAAGTAGAGGAAATCAGCACGGGACACATTTCAGTCAAACAGAGGACACACCGGTGAGGAACATCTGTTGGTTAAACTCACTGAATAGAACAGAAACGTCTTGTTTGCATGAAATATGTCTGAAAGAACAACTAGCAGGATGTAAAAAATATTCCAGATTACAGCAATAGTTAACATAAAACATATGAAATAGCTGACTTGAGTTTTAAAATAACATTTGTTTGGCATATTTCACAAGATAATGAACCTCAAAGTAATGCAATTTAGGACATTTCTGATCAGAAAAAAGAGAAACAATGACAGAAAAACTTTATTTGTAAAGTTATTTTCAAAGCTGCAAAAAGTTTTTCCAGCACCTGTTTTCTAGACATTTGAGAGGTGTGTGTGTGTCAGAAGCATCACCTGGGCTCCTGGCATGGGTGCGAAGGGGTTGGTGGGTCTGACAACAGGCTGGTTGTACATCATCGGCTGAGGAGCCATCACCGCTACCCCACCCATCTGACCCATCTGAGGAGGAACCTGGAGACACACCACACAGAAACAAAACTATATTCCTGGAAGAAATTAATGCCACTCGCTGCCTTGAATGCCCAAGAATTAAACAAAGACGTCACTTGATGTGTGGGTGCTCAGAGTATGTGTTGGTGATGGCTCAGCTACTACCACACCAAACTTTAGCTCAATATCTGTTGAAATGACAAAGTTATGGTAACTGTTGTTTTAGCTGAGGTTGATTAGCTGCGACTTGAATCGGGTAGATTTAAAAATTATTCAGTTGTAAATGAAGAGTTTCATAAAATTCTTTCCAGTAGTTTATGATATATTTTGCTAACAGACAAACACTCACACACACAATTGCATGATCACTTGCCTTTTATGGCTGGAGATGATTAGAAAAAAAAATAATAGACATAATATAAACATTTAAAAGAGTACCGCAAACAGCACATCATACACACATCCACAAACTATTATAATTCAATTTTATTCAATTCAGTTTATTTATAAAGCACCAAGTCACAAAAGAAGTCATCTCAGGGCACTGAACATAACATTCATATACATTATGGATGCCAATTAGTAAAAGTCATCTATATAAGGAAGCCAGCAGATTGAGTTGAATCTTCACTTTGTCACTGTCTCCCATTTATCTTTTTATAAAGCAATCAGCAGCATGGACAAGCAAAGACCTTGCACAACATTTGACTTTGATTTATGACTCTGACCTTGAAACTGGGGTGATGAAAAGTGTACGGAGCACTCGGTCTCGTGATGATGCATAAGTTTATCAAGCTTCATTAAATGATCTTGTGTGGATCAGAAGTTATGGGTGGGATAAGAGGAAGTTTTGACACATACGGAGTACTGGTCTCTCGATACAGATACTGGTATCATATAAGACCCGATACTAGTATTTTTACAAGTACTTGTACTCGTTAAAAATGCCCTGAGATCTGGAATAGATATCGCCACTGGATGGCACTTTTTCTGCTTCCGCTGTGCAAGTGACCGAAGGTTAAAAAATGTATGTACAGTAGTCCCTCACTCCTTTCAGTTCGTTTATCATGGACTCGCTCTATCGTGGTTTTTCAAAATAAGATTGGACATGACACACAATTGGCATGGAGTTTTTATTTAAAATAAATTATTTTAAATTATTAGGCACCAGCTGCACCTGTTGGAACATGATGTTCCTGAGTACAGCCCACAAGCTGCAGAAGAAGCTTCCTCCTGCAGCTTGTCATAATCTCTGCTCTGCAGCGAAGAAGTGGGCGTGGCCAAGAGCGTTGGCAAATAGAGTGCAGCCTGAGGCAGAGAGCTAATTTCATGACATGCTGTGCTCTTTTAGAGCATTTAGAAACATTGTTTAAAAGATTGCAAGTGGGTGGGAAGGGTTTAAAACGCCTTTATAGGTACAGTATATAAATACTAAAATAAACTACTACTTACTACTTGTACTACTATTCCTACTTCGCGGTTTTTCAGTTATCGCGGGGCGTCAGGGTACGGATCACCCCGCGATAAAAGAGGGACTACTGTAGCTTAAGATAAACACAAATGATAAGAGAAAGTATTGTCTGCTGTGCTCAGCTAAACTGTCAGGAGGATGAAGAGCAGCAGTTTCAACACAAGTAATTTGATTAAACACCTGAACTTCACTGTAGCTGAAGTGGTTTCTGTCAGACTGTTGGACATTTTAAACACTCCACCTTAGCTTAGCCTGGAAGATATTTAGCTGCAACTCAGCCAGCACACAAGATGACTCCAGCAGGACGTGCAGACCCGCTGGACCAGCAGCTTTCACATGCTCCAGTGCCTGAACAGAAGTGTGCTCTGTGGATATTTGGGTCTGATTATAAACTTCCACACAACCTCACCGCTCAGCAGTGGGTTCTGGTGGAAAAGATTATAGGTGAATACCAGGATCTTTATTTACAGGTGCTGGTCATAAAATTAGAATATCATGATAAAGTTGATTTATTTCAGTAATTCCATTCAAAAAGTGAAACTTGTATAATATATTAATTCATTACACATAGACTGATACATTTCAAATGCTTTACTTCTTTTAATGTCGATGATTATAACTGACAACTAATGAAAACCCCAAATTCAGTTTCTCAGAATATTAGAATATTACTTAAGACCAATTAAAGAAAAGGATTTTTAGAAATGTTGGTCAACTGCAAAGTATGAGCATGAAAAGTATGAGCATGTACAGCACTCAGTACTTAGTTGGGGCTCCTTTTGCCTGGATTACTGCAGCAATGTGGTGTGGCATGGAGTCGATCGGTCTGTGGCACTGCTCAGGTGTTATGAGAGCCCAGGTTGCTCTGATAGTGGACTTCAGATCTTCTGAATTGTTGGATCTGGTGTATCACATCTTCCTCTTCACAATACACCATAGATTTTCTATGGGGTAAGGTCAGGTGAGTTTACTGACCAATTGAGAACAGGGAGACCATGGTCCTTAAACCAGGTACTGGTAGCTTTGGCACTGTGTGCAGGTGCCAAGTCCTGTTGAAAACGAAATCTGTATCTCCATAAAGTTGGTCAGCAGGAAGCATGAAGTGCTCTAAAACTTCCTGGTAGATGGCTGCGTTGACCTTGGACCTCAGAAAACACAGTGGACCAACACCAGCAGATGACATGGGCCCCAGACCATCACTGACTGTGGAAACTTGACACTGAACCTCAAGCAACATGGATTCTGTGCCTCTCCTCTTCCTTCAGACTCTGGGACCTTGATTTCCAAAGGAAATACAACATTTACTTTAATCAGAGAACATAACTTTGGACCACTCAGCAGCAGTCCCAGGCGAGACACTTCTGACACTCTCTCTTGTTCAAGAGTGACTTGACAAGAAATGTGACAGCTGAACCCCTTGTCTTGCATACGTCTGTGCGTGGTGGTTCTTGAAGCACTGACTCCAACTACAGTCCACTCTTTGTGAATCTCCCCCACATTTTGGAATGGGTTTTGTTTCACCATCCTCTCCAGGGTGCAGTTATTCCTATTGCTCGTATACTTTTTTCTACCACATCTTTTCCTTCCCTTCGCCTCTCTATTAATGTACTTGGACGCAGAGCTCTGTGAACAGCCAGCCTCTTTATCAATGACCTTTTGTGTCTTGCCCTCCTTGTGCAAGGTGTCAACTGTCATCTTTTGGACAACTGTCAAGTCAGCAGTGTTTCCCATGATTGTCTAGCCTACAGAACTAGACAGAGACCATTTAAAGTCCTTGGCAAGTGTTTTGAGTTAATTAGCTGATCAGAGTGTAGCACCAGGTGTCTTCAATATTGAACCTTTTGACAATATTCTAATTTTCTGAGATACTGAATTTGGAGTTTTCTTTGATTGTCAGTTCATCAACAATAAAGAAATAAACATTTGAAATATATCAATCTGTGTAATGAATGAATATAATATACAAGTTTCACTTTTTGAATGGAATTACTGAAATAAATCAATTTTTTCATGACATTTTAATTTTATGACCAGCACCTGTATATAGTTATGCAGATATAAAACATTTAGACTTTACTTATTTATATTACTTTGCACTTTTTTTAATGTTAAGAAATGAAGCAGTTTATAATTATGCTACTGTTGAATTACTTTGTGGTTCTAAACACCATTGAATGTGTTAGTTTACATTTCAAGTAAAAGGTTTGTCAGGTCCATGTTTAAGAAATATACAAGTTGAAAGAAAATATATTTTGTTTTAGTTTTATATATTTTAAAATTTTGCAACAGTATATATCATGCTGTATATTTGATTTGATACACTCAAATGGACTGCAGTGTTTCCCCTAGAAAACTTGGCGTGGCGGGGCGCCAATCTCGTCTGTGATTTTTGTCGATGGGAGTGGGAGAGGATAAGTCTGAGCTGCATGCTTTTTGTACAGACGGTTGCGCTGCCTTGAACTTTTTAGCTAGCATGCCTGTATTGCACGCCACTAGCTTAGAGCTATATCAGTGCTGACGGGGGGGATGGGGGTGTGCACAGTTTGGTTTGGTAGGCAGGGCGTTCAGTTCTGTTCACGGGGCTGGGCACCTCGCTTGTATAACGGTAGGGGAAACACTGGACTGTAGCCCTCTAAGTAAGGACAGCCATCTTGTTCTAAATAAAATAAACATGTTTTTAAGTCATTGTGTAATGTTGATGTTCTAACTCAGTAAGTACTTGGTTTCAATACTCAGTATCGACAAGTACACAAACTGTAGTAGTCATACTCTGTTTGACAAAAACTGGTATCGGCCCCCCCCCAATAATACTGAGACTAAACCACCCAGAACTCGCCTGATCTCGGAAGCTAAGCAGGGTCAGGCCTGGTTAGTACTTGGATGGGAGACCACCTGGAAATACCAGGTGCTGTAAGCTTGTGGGGGAAGCTGTGGTGTAGAGGTAGGACAGCCAGCTTTGGACCAGAATGCCACAGGTTCAACTCCCTGCCATGCCCACATGTTGTGGTGTCCTTGAGCAAGACACCTAACCCCTAACGCTACCTGGGTGCTTACTTAGTTGCCCACTGCTCCACCTGGGTGCATCTCAGGTGTGATAGGTTAAATGAAGAGAACTAATTTCATTGTTTTAAAGAAACATACAGTGATGATAACGCATAGCACTTTTTTTTTCTTTCTACAACATAATATGTCCTGCCGTTGAAGGTTGTACGAAAAAAGGAAAAGAAAATGTAATTTAAACTCAATAAAACATCACATAGGTAAAAACGAAAAATCATCCTCAGACAAGAAACAAACAGGGTAAGAAAGGTGATTGTAAAGCAGAGGTGGAGGAACAAAGAAGCTTTTGTGCAGTAGTCGTCATGTGCATACTCACCATTCCATACACAGGCACTTGTGGTGTGGTCATGGGGAAAGCCATAGGAGCTGGAGCCTGGAAAAAAAAAAAAAACAGATGACTTCAGAGCAAAAACAGAACCTGCTTCAAACCGTTCACATCATTTATTATTACATTAAAAAAAAAAAAAAAAAACATTTTCAAATCTCTTATAGCTCAGCGGCTTTAGAGAATACAAAAGAAAAAAAAAAACTTTAGAACTGTAAGAATTTATTTAATACTCAAGTATGTGTTTGTTCGGAGCCCAGCAGCACAGCAAGCAGCAGAGGTACTTACAGGCTTCCTGCTGTGCGAAATCATTACCGCCACTTTAAAAGCAGTGCCACAATAAGGCCGTGTTTGGCTCTGCACCGCGAGCCGCACAAATCAAAACCACTACACCTGAATAGGCTTCCGATTCAACATGACGGGCAATTTGCAGCAGCCGTTTGCGACCCACGCTTATCTGCATCAATGCCTCTGATTTTTGCTTGAGAAAACGGTAATTGATGGCAGCGAGTGCCTGTGTTACAGTACAGTATGAGTGATTGTAAGGGAGGAGGACCGGTGTGCAAAATGAGGCAAGTAGAGGCAGAGGAACATGTTCTAAACACCATGGGGCTATGTCTATAGAGCTCTTCTACATCATGTCAAAGAATCATATGCTCTACTGTATGTTTGTCAACAGTGCTTCCGGCCAGGGGGGTGGCCAATGGTGGTCTTGGATTAGATTAATCTTGATCTTAGATTAATATATGACCACCCCAAACATTTGAGGAAACGATAGTTTTAAGCAATGGAAAAACTAGAAAGCAAAATTTCCTTAAGTGATAGGGCGGTCTGTTTAAAATAATAAATATATGAATATATGGTTGTGGTGGCCATCTTGGATTTTGATGTGGCAATCCAAATGGAAGTCAGCGCGTTGCTTATTTTTGACCCAATATTTGAGGAAAATATGCTTTTAAAAAATTATAAGAACTAGAAAGCTTCCCCCCTTGTTTCAGCTGCTCCCTTTCTCAGGGGTTGTCACAGTGAACGTATTTTCACGAAAACTTAGAAATTGTTAATATAAGAATTAGAAAGCATAGCTTCTTCAAAAGACTAGGGTGGCTGGTTTACATGTTTGTATGGTGGTGGCCATCTTGGATTTTGGCTTGGCAACCTAATTTTTATAAAGACCTTGTTTTACACATAGACGCAGCCACAAAACAATGTACACGTTGGTATATGACTTATTTTTCATGTTATGCTCACAACATGGACATGCATACAGAGGTTATTTCCAATTCCTCCTCTTCGCTCCACGACAGGGTCAAGTGAAAGGATTTGAGGCAAGCCGTATCAACAATAATTAAAAAATAAAGACTGTACTCGTTTCATCTTAGATATGACAAGAACAAGAGTCTTGTTTGACACTGTCCATACAGCTGCGTACTTTAGTTAACATATTATTATTAGGCGCCTACAGACCACATTAGATCACCTCACAGTGCTTACAATTATTTAAGTTTTTTTGGTGTTTTATTTTCAAGCTGCTGGTGATCACTGCAGACCTTAAAAGTATACAGACCCTTTCCAAAAAGTTAGAATATCATGGAAAAGTTGTTTAACTTCCACAATTCCATTCAAAAAGTTAATCTTTAATAGGTGATAGATTCAGGGCCCACAATTTAAACAATTTCAAGTATTTATTTGTTTATTTTTACATAATTTTGGGCTTCCAGCTCATGAAACCCACGAAAACAGGATTTCAAATAAATTGAATACTGTGAAGAAATCAGTCCAAATGTTGCATGGCATGAATGTTTTAAACTGAGTGTGAAACACTAATCATCTACTAAACTCAAAGCATCTGCACAGGTTTCCCCAGGTGTCATTAAATTGCTTCAGTTTGGTTCAATTGTCTCAGTTTGGTTCAATATGAGGAAGACTGCAAACATAACTGGCCAGAAGACCATCATTGATACCCTCCATAGGATGGGTAAGCCACAAAAGTTCATAGCTAAGGAGGCTGGCTGTTCACAGAGTGCTGTGTCCAAGCATATCAATGGAAAGTCTAGTGGAAGGGCAAAATGTGGCAGGAGAAGATGCACAAGCAAAAGAGATGATTGTGGGCTTAGTGGATTATTAAACAGAGAAGATTCCAGAATCTGGCAGAGATCCAGAAAGAGTGGAATGAGGCGGGAGTCACAGCTTCAAAATCCACCACATTCAGACACATCCGGGAGATGGGCTACAACTGTCGGGTTCCTCGGGTCAAGCCACTTCTGGATCTGAGCCAACTCTTTTGCGATGAAAGTAAAGTGTGCCTTTCATTCGCAAATCAAGGGCTAAGGGTTTGGAAGAAGAAGGGTGAGGAACAGAGCCTGTACTGCATGAGGTCCAGTGTGAAACATCCACAGTCAGTCATGATGTGGGGTGCAATGTCCGGTGCAGGTGTTTATAAACTCTGCTTTCTTAAATCCAAGGTCACTGCAACAGTCTACCAGAATGTTTTAGAGGACTTCATTCTTTCTGCTGAGGATCTGTATGGAGATGCATTTCATCTTCCAGCAGGACCTGGTCTCTGCCCATGCTGCCAGAAGCACCAAAACCTGGTTTGATGCCCATGCCACAGTGTTTGACTGGCCAGCCAACTCTCCGGACCTAAACCCCATTGAGAATCTTTGGGGTATTCTCAAGAGGAAAATGAGGAGCACCAGACCCAACAACAATGAAGATCTGACAGCAAGCATGAAGAAAATCTGGGCTTCCATAACTCCCAGTCAATGCCACAGGCTGATTGCCTCAATGCCACATCACATCGAGGCAATGATTAAGACAAAGGGATTCCTAACAAAGTATTGAAGATTGACATATCGTTTTGAAAGTACCATATTTTGATTGATTTGTTGTGATCCTAATTTCTTTCTTTTTTTCTGCAAAAACTGAGAAGTAGTGCGGTCTGATTTCTTCACAGTATTCTAATTTGTTTGAATTCCTGTTTCGTGGGTTTCATGAGCTGGAAGCCCAAATTATGTAAAAATAAATACTTGAAATTGTTTAAATTGTGGGCCCTGAATCTATCATCTATTAAAGATGAACTTTTTGAATGGAATTATGGAAGTTAAACAACTTTTACATGATATTCATTTTTTTTGGAAAGGATCTGCATTTATGTGGTCTTTTTCAGCTCCTGCTTCAAAATAGGTGCTTTCTTGGACTTTCAGTAGGAGCTCTCAAGTGAGACAAGTGGATGTGATTAGTCCATACGTAAATGAACATTGACTGACCAAGCAACTTAAAAGCTCTTCCAGCATCTGCACTATTGAACAGCATTGATGAATGAGAAGTTACTTAACAGCCACTGTTGTATGTTCTAATGAGCTCTTCTTTGAGGAACAGCATGAAGTTGACTGACTCTTGGTTTCTCCTTCTGAGTGTTTGTTGCACTCTTATAAAACAAACCAAAGACTTACAACACAGCTCAAATTACAGAGTCCTCCATTGTTGATGGTGGTGAATGATGCCCATGATGACATTTATGATCATGTGGGTACAATCTCAGTGGTGTGAAAACAAACACAGATCATAATCATCATCTTATACCAAAACTGTTTGCTTATGGGATCCATCTTGTGTCTGCTGGTAAATGTTTCGAGATCCTTGTAGCTTTTATTATGGTTTCCTGAAGAAAACCTCAGTTTTGTGTAATAAACTGCTAAAAAAAAAAAAAAAGTCTGAATGTGCAATCTGGCAAATTCTCCAAAAGCAGAAACTCTAGAGACTTCAGCTGAATGTTGACTAATGTCTAATTCATAAATCATACAAATTTTACTATGACATATTTTTCTACAGATCAAAGCCTTTTCCTTCTAGATGCTGAATATTTAAAAAGTTGTACTGGAGTATCTAGTAGCTTTTTACTGATCCGTTTGCTCAGGTTATGTGAAATGCATGTAGCTGCACACAGCACAGAGTTTTTGCGGTCCGACGTCAACTCTCATATGAGCGCTCAATATCTTTGAAGGTGTGAGCTGACTGATCAGCTTGCAGAAACTATTTAAAGTCCTCAGCCATCCAAATAAACGAGCCAACGGTGGCAACAGAGCCTGCGTCACTCCTGCTCTAAGAACACCATTTCTCTTGTCTGCCACAGTGAAGGAACTCCAGCTGGTTCTTGCAGTAAAGCAGCAATAAAACACAAACGAAGCAATATTTCCAATAAGCAGAATAATGAGCTGTTCTGTAAAGTTGTGTAATACCAGAGTGATGTTACATAAACTGATGGATTACGTTAATTAGGTAAAGCTGTGCTGGGTTTAGGCTTTTATGGGCAAAAATAAAACTTCCTTTAATTGCTGCTTATGTTTCAGCACATTAATCAATGATTTAAACCGAGTGGGCAACTCAGACAGTTATAAAAACAGTTCATGTTCAGACAAAAGTCAAGTTATTCTATGCTCAGAAACATAAAATAAAGGTTATGACCCAAAGATTGTACTAAATGAGATTACTGGCTACGCAGAGCTGAAAGGCAGAGTTTGATAAGATGAAGGAAGCTTTATTGAGCCAAGCCATCGCCATGGTTACAGAGGCTGGACTTATCACAGGTGATAAAGATGAGCCGCTTACATTTAGAAAAGTTTGTTAAATTGAAACTAATGCAGATTAAAAGTGTACGTTTACATGGAATATTTAATAAATTCAATATTTATTTGATTTGGTGATGGAATTATTTAAAAACATCATCTCTCTGAGCTACAAATGTTGGCGATTTGCAGGCTACAGCGCTGAATGTTCTGGTCCAAAAACCACCAAAAGTAGTCCAAATCTACATATTATTTCAAAAGTGTACTCCATATGACGATGCCATAAATCTAGGGGTGGCTGCCAAAGTGGCTCCGACACAAGTCGAGGCAGGTAACATGTAGGCTGTGGTTATACACACAAAAATGTGACGCAATTGTCAATATTGGCTGGAAAAACATGGCAGGTCACAAACAGAATTAGTTGAGAACGCAACAAAACGTTTATTTTTCTTTACAAATTTGTGTCCAAAAGTAGTCTCCAAC